TTTAATAGTGTGTGTTAAGTATGAACCTATACTGTATTAAAATTTTAGATACTGTATGTGTAATCTACTTACTTTATTAAAATTTTATATGTAGTTCCCTGTAAAGCAAAGGTCTGAATGGACTGGCTCCAAAATTAAAATAGTACTGTCTCTGGCGAGAAATTTACATTATTTTTTAAATTTGGACATATTTAGCATAATATCTTTTATTTTAATTGTTGAACTATTATCCAATTTTTATATTGATATTTTAAACTGGTTTATTATATTGAAACTTATTTTATATATGAATTCCATCTAGATAATTTGCCAAAGTACCTTGTAGCGTTGTCTGAATATGCGGCTAAAAACGAGTACAACTCATGGATAGAAAATAATAAGATATTCATTCAAATGAAATTGTGTTCAGACGACGAGATTAAATTAATTTGCAATGATCTGGATCAACTGCGCAAGAAATAAAATTTGTTTAATATTTACACCAAACATACTGGTTCATAATTGTCATTATAGTTTACAATAAAAGTTATAAACCTATCCTTTAATATGAAATTGCTCATGCTACATACTTTTAATATATTTATTGTCACTTAAGTAAAGTATATTCATCCAGGAAGTTATATGTAAATTATATGAATTTTATAAATATATTTTTTGTTTTCATATAAAAGTTTTTAATTTAATACAAAATTAATTATTTTCAAATTAAATATCTTTTAATATTTGGTTAGAGACATGCAATCATTCAATTAAATGTGAATTTTAATTACTTTATAAATCTTATAGAAAATTTAAATTGAAATTAAATAATTAATAAGTTTTATCATAATTTTAATTCGTATTTAAATGCGATAGATAATCCTTAATACTTTTAATAAAATTATTAATAAACTGTATTTAAATAAAAAAAATACTTTGCAAAATAAAATGTAAAAATATTTTAATAATTTTCATATAATAATATAAATTAAATAATTTTTATATTAATTCTTGAACTGAATAATTGAGTTTTAAAAATATACTAAATTATTAATTGTATAAGGTCATTCAAAACCCAAAATTAAATCATAAATTGTACAAACGATTTATTTATCTGTTTATCTAATCGCCTTAAATAATGGGTAATCACCAAGGCTAATTATACAATTTAAAATGGTGTAAATACTATAATTAATTATATAATTATTAATATTGTAGCATGGGTGTGCAACGTTTCAATAATTTATATTTATGTGTAGGTTTCATAATAAAACATATATTACTATAACTAGTGTAAAGTTCAATGATTTTATATTATTTTTGTGTTCAATATTAAGTAATTTAGTGTTTATTAAGGTTTGAAAACAATTTAAAAAGTTTCGTAAATATATTTACAAATTATTTAAAAACTATCAATAATTTTTAATTGATAACATTTTTGACTTGTTAATGTTTTGTTAATAAACTTGGGAAATGAATGTGAAATATAATACATCATTATTTATCGTATGATTATCTGAAACACTTGTATTGTCAATGTGATGGCCATATGTAAAGTGGAAATACACCTTAAATACCTGTATATGCCTGTAGTGTAGGACTATAGATGGGGCACAGGTATGTGTAGAAAAAATAGCCAAAAAAACTGTACTTAAACTGTAAGGATAGATAAAGTTATATTAGATAAAATTAACCAAGTACATTTAGATAAGTTAGTCCCATGTTATATAATATTAAACATATAAGTTGCTTACAAATGTGATTTAAAAACTATAATTATTGATTTGAATTTAATAATTAACTAGAATATTTTTATAATTATAATATTTAATATCACACAAAAAACGGTAACATAACTAACTGTAAGGAATATTATATTATTTTTATAAGTTTATTTAATTGTAGTCACATGTTATATAATAGTGATATTTAAATTTTTATTTGTTTTGCATGTTACTTTTTAAATATATTTTGTATGATAATTATTTTCAATGTCACAAAGATGTGTAACATAACTGTAAGGAATATTCCTTTTTTATACGAGTATGTCACATGTGTACAAACGTGACCATGATACAAATTATTGATATCTATAAGCATAAGTTAAGGAATTTTAGTGGAAATCTAGTTTAATTGATAAATTAATTTAAATAATTCATCAAAACAACCACACATTTCGCATAAAAATTATTATGTAATATAATACTTAAAATGAAAATATATGTAGCTATCATAGATTGCTAACTAATTTTAACCCTGACCAGTTACGATCATTATTAAATACATGTGAATGTTTACATGTGATGTATGGTGTAATGTTTTAACTGGTAAATTGGTCAGGATAAATAATACATAGGATATAATAATATATTAAAAATTTATTTATGAAAGTAAATAACATGTGCTATCAGTTTCATATCAAACTATTGTATTTAAATTTTGTTGGTTTTTGCAATTAATATGTAAATGTGTAGTTTTAATGACTATAATATTCAATGTCACAAAAAACTGTAACATATCTGTAAGTAATATTGCTCTATATATAAATCACATGCACAATGACCGTAGAAAGTATGACCATGTTTAAACATGTAATATAACTAAATTTAAGAAATTTTGTGCGAAAACTAGTTTAAAATATAAAATAAAATATATAATTTAGATATACTATCAAAACAACCACACATTTGGCATAAAATAAAATAAACATTTATTACTTAAATGTCAGATTTCTATTTATTTGTGCTTGACCAATTTTAGTATATTATATTAGTATACGCGTGATTTTTGCGTGATACTATTAGGTAAGTGTGACTGACTGGCAAATGATCAGGGTGGAACTGTACCTGAAGGGTTATGGTATTTAGAGAGGATATACACACCATAATAGGTGTGTCCCCTCTATTCAACAGACATCCACTGATCACATAATTGATACAAATTATGTAATTTGTTTCATACATTGCATTCAATTTCATCATAAAATTATTGGTTTAAAAATTTGTGAAACAAAAAGTTATAAAAACAAAATTTCAATTAACATATAGTTTTAATTATATATTATATTATATTATATTTTGTTATATTATATATATAATTTGGTATACATTTTGTATACAATTTTTTTAATAGTGATCTCTAATAGTGAACACACTTTTCATCAGATAATCAATAATTTTTGTGAAAAGTTTGTAATAATTATAGTGATATTCAATAGTTTCAAATGATTTCCTTATTTTTCAAATGTATATAACCTTCGCCTCAAATGCCTGTAAGAAATCACTGTATAATTACATTTCATTTTCGATTAGAGATTTTTATATTATATTATTTTTTGTTTCGTATTTTGTATAAGCATTTGGATTATTATATCATAAGTTTGACATCAATTGCTTATAGTTTTTGTCGATTATATACCGATAATAACAAAGAGGTTTTGTTTTGTTTTTGTGTGAAATTAAAGGGATTTAAATATTTATGATATTTAATGCCAAACCGATTGTAATGTTAATATGTTTTTGACTTTTTTATTATATAATATAAATATGATTTGTTTTGATACATATATTCAATGTCATAAGCAATATAATCAAATGAGAAATACATTTAACATATTTTGCTCATATAATACAATTGGATTTGATTTACAATTACAATAAAAACACTTTTGTTTCAAACTTTTCATTTGACTTCAATTATGATTTATAGCCCATTTCGCAGACTTTCAACACTTTTTGATTAGGGTTTGTCTCGGAGTTTATTATAAGTATAAAAGTGTATTAAATTTTTAATCATACTTTCATGTATTATGAAAAAATATTTTATGTGAAAATATGCGAGATTTGGAAATAATATTAACCTTTAAACTAATTGATTGTGTATAAAAAATATGTATAAAAAATTGATTAATATATTTATGCATAACTGGCTATTGTTTTGTAATTACGACCACAACTAATGGTATAGTATATGCGATTGAAATCAATTAAAATAGTTTTTGATTAGAAAACTCAAAACAAAACAATTAATTTGTATATATTTTTGTTGTTATACATGTATATAAAAATATACACAAATATATTAACGATTGTGTAATAAATTGATTTCAGATTTTAAAAAATTAAAACTTGTATTAAACTAATAAAAATGAAAATATATTTTTTGTTTGTTATTTAATTCCTTGGCTTCAATTGAATCGTAACTATAAATCAAAAACTCAATTCAAATGACAAATATTTTATACATTTGAGGCAAAAATGATTTTTTTGATCAAAATTATGCATTTTGGGCCTGGCCAGTGGCGCACTAACTTTTGTGTAATGTAAAGTGACATTATATCATTTGCACAACAATTAATTCTCTATATATTGTCTTTACAAACAATTTATACTCCTATAAACTCTAGTTATAAACAGAAGAAACTATCGATCGGTGTATGAAATATACAGTCGAGTAGTAAATCAATCGTACATTTCACTCCTAAATGACTTAACAATCCTTTATAATCTCAACAACCTGGCTGATAACGTGCTAAGCAATAATGATGTTATCGGTATTTGATTTCGTAATAAAGTTCTGATACGAGTTATTATATTATAGTTATATACACTATAGTGGAGTAAATTGTATACAAATTAATAACTATTGTCACCATTTTGTATAATTATTATACAAATAAATATTTATTTATTATTGTATTAATATATTTAATATTCATTATTATTATTATTTGTGAAAAATATTGCTTTAATAAAATGTCAACTGTAATTAATAATTATAAAATTTGTGATCAAATACCACAACATTTAAAACATGAAATTAAATATTTTTATGTTTTCAATGCCTTGAGGAGACATCACGTACTATTTGTGACATTTGATGAATTTAATAAAATGTCAACTGTAATTAATAATTATAAAATTTGTGATCAAATACCACAACATTTAAAACAAGAAATTAAATATTTTTATGTTTTCAATGCCTTGAGGAGACATCACGTACTATTTGTGACATTTGATGATATGGTGTATGGATTGGGATCTAATATGTTTGGTCAGCTCGGGTTAGGACACAACACACCCATTCATACACCACAACGAGTGACTAAATTATGTCATAAAAATATAAATCAGTTTATAAGTGGAGAAGACTTTGTATTGGCTGTCAATACGGATAATAATGTGATATTCAGTTTCGGGCGCAATAATAGGGGACAATTGGGACGGCATGTGGATATGGATGTGAATTTATCCCATAAACCGGATACTATATTATATTTCCAAACAAACAATTTAATTATTTCACAAACAAGTTGTGGTAATCAGCACACAATTGTGTTGACATCAAATGGACAGGTATTCGGGTGGGGGTGTAATAGAGAGGGACAGGTAGGTTGTGGTAATAAAAGTATTCAATTAGATCCAACTCCTGTTGAATTTGCCACTGAATATCAAATCAGTAAAATAGAGTGCAATAGGTATACATCACTGGCTCTTTCTTGTGAGGGACAGGTGCTAATATGGGGTGAGGTAGACGATATTAAAATAAGAACACCACATTTATTAGAAATTGAAATTATCATACACAATGCACTTCCGCACAATTCTGTAGAAGCATATTTATTATCTAGCCATGGTCACATATATCGATATGACTTTCACAATAAGTGTTTAGAAATATTATCCCATTTTGTGTTCTATGAAATAAAACAAAAACATAGCTCAAGAATTGTGGGCAAATCTGATAATAAAATATATGAAATTGTTGTCAATTATGTGCTTGAAACCAATTATACATCATTTGACGATTATTTTTCACATGAATTGCAAATTACTTTAAATATAATTTCAACAAATATTCAACAAAATACACCAATTTGTGGTAAATATTACAATAATACCATAATTGTTGCCTTAATGTGTTGTGCATTGAATTGATTATTATTATTTTGTTTTATTATAGAAACTCTCGATAAGTTGAATAATTCAATATCATTTGAAAAGTCATTTGATGTAATAAATAAGCTTGGTGAGGGTGGCTATGGACAGGTATATAAAGTTCGAGATAAATGTAACCATGAATTATATGCAATAAAGAAATGTCTATTAAATGGTAAATATATTTTATTCTATTTGCAAAATTATGATCATTATTATTATATTTTAATTTATCTAAACGATTGACAGAAAAACAAAAACAAAATGTTTTGAATGAAACGCAGTCTTTTGAAACTTAAGTCAGTGTTTGTGATTCGATACTACTATTCATGGATTGAATGCAATTGTCGTTACTTTGAAATTGAGTTATGTATCGATAATCTCAACAATGTTTTGAAAACTAAGAAATCATTGTTTAATGAATTGATGACTATTTCTGAGTTTCATATATCGAATCATATATTTCATTGACTCACAGAATGTGTGCAATATTTGCACGAAAAGCTTATCATTCATAGAGACCTCAAACCGGATAATGTATTGATTTCAATGGACTATACCATAAAGATATGTGACTTTGGTTTGGCTAAAGAGGTCCCAAATTGTGATCCGTTTCTTATGTCTAAAGCCAAACATACGGCAGATGTGGGAACTGTTTACTATATGGCACCGGAAGCCCAGACTAATGAATACAACCACTTAATAGATATCTACAGTCTATCTCTAATTGGGTCTCAAATATTTGGTTTCGTTACAAACGATATAATCGACGGAAAGTATGAATTGATTTTTAAATAATTTGTTTTTTATAACAAATATTATAATTACTGTTATTATTATGTATAATATAATTCATAACTATATTTCAATTTTAGGATTAAAACAAACACAAAATATGACAAAGATATCAATGATTTGATACATAAAATGAATGCATTATTGGTGTCAATGAGTGTTAATATGTATTCACAAAACGGTTCAACAGATTGGAGGCAAAGACCCAAATGTTCGCACATTTTATCACAATTGCAGACATTTATGACAAATAAACCCATTATTGGAGACAAAGAATTCAATTCTGTTTTGGATGCTATGAATGATAGAAAATATGATTCTCTTTGCAAACTATTTATGGAACGCAAACCGTTTTGTATAATCCATATGACTGATGGAAATATAACTAATGGTTTGATATTTATAGTTTAAAATATTTCAAAGTGCAAACTTTTACATTTACTATATGTATGTTTGTAGATACAACTGAATTTAACGCAATTAACGAATCAAAGTTTGAAATAATCAGGGAACAAATTCATGAGATATCATGGAGAATATTTGAAGTCAAACATAAAATATCTCAACAAAAGTATTCGTTATACACAATGTATCTATTATCATACGGTAAGACTTATTGTATTATACTGTGTATGTGGTGGATATAAATTGATATTACTTTTCAACCTAGCTTCTATACTATATACAGTAGTATAATATCAAAGTATTATATATTAATTAATAGTATTCATGTTATAGACCACAAATCCTGATACATAAATTCGCTGTCACTGTAGTTCAATAGTATGTGTTAAGTACTGAACTGTACAGTCTGCTGTATTTTATATACTCTATTAAAATTTTAGATGTAGTTCCTTGTTAAGTAAAAGTTTGAGTGTACTGGCTCCAAAATTAAAATAGTACTGTCTAGCGGGAAATTAACATTATTTTTAAATGTGGACCTATTTAGAATAAAATTTTTTATAATAATTGTTGGAATATTATCCAATTTTTTTATATTGGTACTTATAACTGGTTTAATATATTAAAACTTATTTTATATATAAATTCTATCTAGTTCATTCGCCAAAGTACCTTGAAGCATTGTCTAAATATGCGTCTAAAAACGAGTACAACTCATGGATAGAAAATAATGAGATATTCATTCAAATGAAATTGTGTTCAGACGATGAGATTAAATTAATTTGCAATGATCTGGATCAACTCGCTAAGTAATAAATTAATATTAGTATTTACACCAAGCATATTTATTCATAATTGCGATTATAGTTTAAAATAAAGGTTTAATATAAAATTGTCAATGTTACATATAAGGATCTTCAATTAAATCCGAGATGAAAGATTGTTTAATAACTCGCTTATTACTTGTAGTTCAAATCTATACTCTGGCACACTTAGAGTTCATTATGAGGTAGCCATGATAAAACAAGAATATTCTGTATGACACCCGGAATATTCTGTGATATTGGATGGTTTGCTGGACCCATAGTCAGCGCAAAGATTACTAAAGTTAAAAATTATATGGAATAAGGGTATGGTAAAGGGGATACTATATTTCAATAATAT